TTAACCACAGACCAGGGCTTTTATTCCAAGTTTGCAGAGAGATGTCCTAGGATGTACACATGGGGCTCAGTCCTCTTAAAGTTATACCTGAAGCCTCAGCTTTGGGTCAGAAACATTTGCCTGATTAATTATGCCCTTCCTGAGCCCACACCACCCTGCTTCTGGGACTGAAGGAACATACAAACACAGATGTATGGGACCGCAGAAGCCATGAAGTTGTGAGCTGACAGCTTGAGAAAATGCTCGCAGCCTAGTATCACAGACCCACTCTGAGCCTCGGTTTTTTCTCTACATTGAGGATAACAAGATCCCATTTATGGGACAATGAGGACTAGATGGGTCAGCCACTAAAACTGACTTTCTAAACCATGAACTCTGTCAGCTTACAGACCTAGGAAAGCAAAAGGCTAGAAAGGCAAAGTACAAGCAGAATGGGTAGTACAGGTCCCCAACTCCGTAACTTAGCAAAGGTCCATGACAGAAGGTCTTTCACCTAGCCAGCTGTCTGACACCTCAGCACCCCCCTCACTGCCCCCTCCATTCACACTCTGAGAGCTGAGAAGTTGTGCAGCCCACAGCCTGAAGGGCTGTGCTGCTTAACACCTGTCCCTCCTGTGCACAAGGGGCAAATGTGAGGTGACACCTGGAGATGAGGTGAAAGGCTCTGTGCGGGCCATGTCAGAAAGCCTGAAAAGGACTGTTCCAGCCCTCCCTGGTGGCACAGTGAGTTAAAGCGCAGCATTAAGAAGCTAAAACCACTTCTGCATGAGTTCAATCCCCACCCCAGAGGTGACCCACATGGCACAGCAGACCTCTCCTGACCCGCCCACTGCTCCCCTCAGCAGTGTACTTCGTCAGTTGGCCTGTTCTGCTCCCCATTCTGTCTCTGGTGAACCCTCTCACTGCCCCTGCACCTCTGGCCTGTACCCCAGTTCTTTATGCATAAATAAATCTTTAAAAAAAAAAAGGCTTTTCCAGCTCCTAGATCTCTAGATCTCTGAGAAGAAGGTTCTCTGGATGAGTCAAGGATCCTCGCTAAGGATTCAGGGACTCCTCTCCCACGACCACCTGACTGCATTGGTGTTACACACTGTGTCGCTTCATTTAAGACCCCAACATTTGTAAGATGAGCCCCAAAGAAAGAACAGAGCTGTCAATTAAACTACACCCTCCCACTACTGGAAGGCACAGGCTGATTTTAGAGATGGCTGTGCCAGAAAATGTGCGCCTAAGAAGCAACACAGTGTGGCAGAGGAAAGCACCAGGGAATGTAAGGCTAAATTCGACTATCCGTTTCTATGAGACAAACCCAAAACCCTCCACAGGCAGCTCAAGAGCCCAGCCCTTTCCCTGGAGCACGTTTTGAGTGCAGTAGTAGAGAGAAAGAGATGAGAAAGTGCTGACAAGAGAAGAACCACATCCTCTTAGTGCAGACAGACCGTGGGATCTTACTAGACAAAGCCAAAGCCAGCAAAGCCTGAGGAGCCACCAAGAACGGGAGAGCCAGGGCTGGGCGGGAGTTACAGAGAGGGCAGCTGTCCCACCTCATGTGCTCCCTGTCCGTGCAGACTCAGAGGGCCTCTGCGGCCAACAGCAGGACCCGGCCAGTCCCTACCGCCTGCTCCTTCTGCCAGGGTGGTCACAGCTCCTGCCCGTCACCATCCTGCGGAAGTTCTTCCACCTTCCCTCACACACACCAAAATGGCGGAGTCGCCCTTATGCACACTTCTACCTGTCAAGATGCCGCTTAAAAGGTGACATCCAAGGCAGGGACAATGGAGCATCTTTAATAATTATTTGCAATGTCCAAATCAGAAAGCAATCAACGTGTTAAGATATTGCAAAAAGAGCTGTGTACATCTATTTAACAAATTGCTATCATCATTACAGATTTCTACCAAACTGTGGAGTAATATATAATATGCACATTCCACATTGAGAAAAGGCGGCAACATTATAAGCATCAAAGAGTGTGCTTAGCATTAAAGGGAAATTCAAGATAAGCAGAGAGTGACTGTTTTCTTCCTTCGACTTTTATTTTCCATATTTCTTCAATAAGAATTGAATGTAATAATTAAACTATTAAATAATTAAAATTAAATAAAAATTTAAAGTTTAAAAGGAGTAGTAAATGCACAAAATGAGACATTTCAAATGACCTCTGAAGCATGGCATTCAGTAGGGTCAAGAATTCTATACAGTCTTAACATATAATACATACACATTCTAGCACCTTTTTCTGAACAGATCATAACATTTCTAAATGACTGAGTCATTTAAGCTTTTCCTAATAGAGGATATATTATTTATTTCAGGGACATTTAAAATGTCTTCCAGCTATCATCAAAAAACCAAAAGAGAGCTACTGGCAAGGAGAAGGGAAGGAGCCTTTGCACACTGTTGGTGGGGATGTAAATTGGTGCCTCCACTATGGGAAGCAATATGGAAGCTCCTCAAAGAATAAAAATAGAACTCCCATATGATCTAACAATGCCACTTCTGAGTATTTATCCAAAGGAAATAAAATCACTGTCTCAAAGAGACATCTGCCCCTCGTGTTCACTGCAGCATTACTCACAGGAATCAAGACACAGAAACAGCCTAAGTGTCCATGGACAGATGAATGGGTAAAGAAAATAAGGCAAACATGTGTCTACACACAGAATATTACTCAGCCTTACAAAGAAGGAAATGATGGGCCCTCCCTGGTGGCGCAGCGGGTTAAAACACAGCACTAAGAAGCTAAAGCCCCTGCAGCATGAGTTCAATGCCTGCCCCGGAGGTGACCCACATGGTGCCTAAGACCTTTCCTGACCTGCCTGCTGCTCCCCTCAGCAGTGTACTTTATCACTTTGCCTGTTCTGCACCCCACTCTGTCTCTGGTGAATTCTCTCACCCGCCACACCTCTGGGCCTGTACACCAGTTCTGTATGCATAAATAAATCTTAAAAAAAAAAAGGAAATGCTGCTCTTGCAACAATATGAATGAACATATAGCACATTATACTAAGTGAGAGAAAGACACAGAAAGACAAACAGTGATTGCATTTATATTCGGGCTCTATTTTTAAAAGAGGTCAAATTCATAGTAACAGAGAAAAGAATGGTGGTGAGTCAGGGTGAGGGTGAGAAAACAAGGCAGATATTGATTATTAATGGAAAGGTAAACTTTCAGTGATAGATGACCCTCTATAACGCAGGGTCTATAGTTTATGATAATGTATTATATACTTGAAATTTGCTAGCAGATCTCAAGTGTCCTTATCACACACAATAAAGAAAAATGGTGATGATGTGAGGTGAATTATTGAGAATGGGAATCATTTCACAATGTATATCAAATCATTACATTGTACACCTTAAATATACATATTTTCCCAAATATTTTAAGTAGAATACTCTAGTTGGCATGGTTTTTTAGGTTATTTTTTTGGGTCTGGGAACATTATTACTCTTAATAAATACGGAAAATTTTTTGAGCATTTTCTGATACCAAAAATAATCTACCACTTCATATCAAAAAGGAATGTTCTACTTTCAGGTAGTGGAATTAATCTGGATACAACTCTTGTCAATCACAGTTCAATAAAGTAGGGGAGAAAAATAAAAAACATCATCCAGGTGTGCTGTATTTTCTATGACAGAGTACTTCTGAAACACTATGTGTTAATTATAGCTTTACACACTAAATCGTAGTTAAAATGTAGTAGTAAAATAATTTTGTAGAAAAATAACCTTGAGAAAAATCCTTTTGGTAAAGCAACAGATGTTTTTACACATAAATGATTCTCTCTCCACCTGTCCCCCAGATCTAGGGGTTGACTGCTTGAGCTTCTACTCCTACATTCCAGTCCATTACACCTTCAACTTTTCCATTCAGGTGACCCCAGTGGATGTGAAGGTTAAATATCAGAGGACTAAGTAATTCCACAGTCAACGAACAAACAAATGAACCCACACTCTTCTCTGTTCACTTCTCTGGTCACTTCCAGGAAAAATGCCTTCTCATAGCCCTTCTCCCTCTGATTAGTCCTGACATCATTACATAGTCCCCTCCTCCCCTTTCCATGATCTTCTCATCACAGGTTTGAACTGCTACATGACAGTAAGCCAGCAGAAGAATTCCCAGGCCATGCCCCCTCACAGCCACACCTGCACGCACCTGGACGGCCCCTCCCCTGCAGGCACCATGTCTCAGGTGACCGAGGCAACGACCCAATGTCACTGAGATCAGAAGCCCTGAAAGTGCAATGAGCATACCCCTCACACCATCCCCAGGCCTATCACCTCCCTGCCAACGGCACTAGGCCAACCCCAATATAGGCAAGCTATGTCTCCTTCCAAAACAATGATTTATTCTCTATTTAAATACATCCTATACACTTCCAGTGATGCCTGGTCAACCACACTGTAGTATTGCTATATTCACTTCAAAAAGAATGATTTTTCAAGCATCTTAATGTGATTCAATTTTATACCTCTTCCATATTAATACATCTGCAAATTGTACCAAATTCTGTTTTCAGAACATTTGTTTTCAGAACGTGAGTCCCAGTTATCAGCAGAACATTCTGTTTCCAAAACAGAAATTCTGTTTTCAGAAAGGGAGCTTCAGTTATCAGTTTAGGAAATATGGTCAGGGTCTTCCCCAAGCTCCAAAGGAAAAGAGCAGCAATAGAATCTTTTGACTCATCTTTGGGTACCCCCATCAGGCACTGGGCACACTCAGTGAAAAGACTCAGCACTAGCAAAGCACAAATGGAAATCCAGAAGAGGCTGTGATCTCTCTGCAAAAGATCCCTGCACCTGCCAGACACTCCCAGTATGGAGCTCTCCACAGAGCACCGTACTCCCCCAAGGGGCCCAGTAGAATCCTACCCTGGAACTTTTTCTTCGTCCCCTACTCTACAGCCTGCTGCCCTCCAACCTGCCTAGGGCTCAGTCACACCATGAAACCACATGCACTGCCACACATACAGAGAAAGAGCCAGAAGACTCACCCACTGAGGACCACAATGAAATCCATGACGTTCCAGCCATTGCGTAGATAGGAGCCCTTGTGGAAGATAAAGCCCAGGGCCACGATCTTGATGCCGGCTTCAAAGCAAAAGATCCCAATGAAATATGGTTCTGTCTTCTCCTGTAGGATGAGGAGCAGAAGAACCCATCAGAGGAGGACTGTACCTCATTAGATGCAGGTAACGTGAACTTGGGACATTACCTCTGCTCTGGACTTTCCCCTCTCCTACAGGACCCAGGCATCTGTGCTGGGCCAGCCCTTTGCGGGTGTGATGTGAGGGTGCTGAAGGGTTTGTAGGGTATACAAAAGCAAAGGGAATCACGGAGGAGTCAACTGGAGAAACGGATGCATGTGGTATCATCCAGGACCAGACTCCATGCCAGACCCTGACCATGTGACCAGGCCCTGTTCTTGCCAGCCCACACCCACATTGAGAACTTCTGGGTTCTCGCCTACCACAATCAAGTGGGGCTATTATTTTCATGAGGAACACGCTGGGTGTGGCAATCATTTATGGAGAACGTGGATGACACACTGGCAAGCTCATCGCTACAGATGCCCCAGGTTTTAACCATCCTTCCTCCTAGCTCCTTTTTCCTCCCTTTTTCCTCTTACTCAAAATTCCCTTGTGAGAGGGAGTAAAGGAAGTGGACCCCCTTGCCGGTCCTGATGTGTGGGGCATTCTATACAAAGTGGTTGTCCTCAGAACTTTCCGGGGGTGAGATTTCTTTTCAAAAGGTTATAGCTCTCCTCCCTTTGTCTCTGGGAAAAGATCCAGCTCCTCTCAAAACTACAGGGTCGGGGAGGAGGTTGGGGACAAGATGACAAAGCAAAGGACAAGGGGAACGGGGGCGTGAGGACAGGGGCACATACCAGTCTGCGGGACATTGGGGTCTTGTCGTCCTCGGGAAGGTGCTGCTCCAGGGCCAAGACGATGCAGTTGGCAATGATGGTGGCCAGGATCATGTACTCAAAAGGCGTGGGAAAGGAGTTAAGGAACAGCTTTGCCAAAGGGGTGGGTGGAGTCTCCAAGACGCCCCGCACATCAATACAGACTTCATCGGGCACACACCAATACAGACTTCATCAACTCACGTATGTCTGGCCCCTCAGTAGTGAAGCTATCACCATCTCTAACTCAGCTCTGAACACAAAGTATCTTCTCCAGCAAAAGGAAAATTGTAGCCACTAAGTAATATTCCTCCTTTTCCTAGAGATGATGACTTCGTGTCTGAGACGAATCAGACCCAGTTGTTTCACCTGCTAAGGGCCAGCCATTCTCTGCACAGATGCAGGTGGTTGATCCTCAATTCAACAACATAGGAGGGAATTAACCCGGACCAAAAATGGAATAGAGGGAAAGGAGAAAGATTGCAGATGATGCCACCAACGTCCCCTGCCCATCCCACATGCAAGGCTCTCACCAGGCTCCAACTGTGGCTGTCTGCTAGTATTCAAGCAGAGCCCCTAGGAAAGGAACAATTCTCTCCACGTGAGCTCTTCTATTTTAATATCCAGCTCAGAAAAATCTTTCCTAGGGCCAGCAGACGTGTGCTCTGACCTACCTTATTTTATCTTAAACTTCTACATCTTCAGGAAACAAAATGCATTGTGTGTCCAGATCCAGGTCACAAAAGCCAGGACCTTTAGCAACTAAACTACAGGTGAATGACTCCAGGCTGTTTTTTGTTGCAGGTGAGGGAGCTCCTTGTGCCTTTCTGGAAAATAGGACTATAACTCAAGTGTCAGCAGAAAGACTGTGCCTAGATTCCGGGGGCAACAGAAGGGGAATCCCCAGTTTCTAGAGTGGAATCATTCTGCAGGTCAAACTCCATACTGCAGCTGTTGTGACGATACATGTGAGCTGTTACCACTGGTCTTGCCAAGCAACCTAGGCCCTGGGACATTCTAGAACCAAGAAGGGAGTGAAAAGAGGCCTGGCAGAGAGGAAGGAAGGGAAAGGGTCCATCTCCCCTTGTGCCCACACAGCCAGGCTGGGGGTAGGATGTAAGGTCAAGAGCCTTCCCCAGGGAGTAATGGTGACCCCATCTCTGTGAGATTTGTGTCCATGACGTAAAAGGTGAATGGGCACCTGAGCCATCTCAGAGGAAGGGTAGGCATATGTCTCCCCAACATAGGAGCATGTGCTGAGGTGTGGCTGCCCCAGCAGTACTTCAGCCCTGGCACAGAATGGAAAGGTGTGCGGGTGAAACGGCGCTGTCTCTGAGCTGGAGGCCTCGCCACTCACATTCTGCGCGTCTTCTCATCACCCTGCAGCCCCAAGCAGCCGGCCACCCTCCCGTTCCACATGTGCCCGGCACACACAGGACCCCATACGAAGGTGATCTGCGGGATTCTGCTGCCCTGTAGCCTGGGGACCGGATCTGAAAGGTGGAGAGTTCCCAGGGAGCCAGAGCCAGCCCCCGTCTCCAGATCCCAGTGTGCCCACAAAAATCCCCTAGCCACACAGGAACATCACAAAGCCATTTCTTTCTCCCCAATCTCTCTGGCCACCAAATTAGGCCTCTGAGCGCTGAGCATGCCACAGACATGCTCCAGAGGCCCAACTAGATTTGTCCCTCCTTTCTCAGGACGTGTCCCCACACATGTGCCACCCAAGGCCACCCATGCCCAGAGGGGAGCGTGCTCCCTCCCATCACAGGCACTAGCCCAGAGCTCTGAACTCGTGTCGAGTGACCAGGGAACACAGGTTGACCCTGTGCCCCCTAAACTCTACACAGGCTAGCAGGGAGGGCCTGGTCCAGACCCAGAATTCTCCAGGCCCAAATGGTAAAATGAAAAAGGGAATCAGAAAGGGGTAGCCAACAAAGCATGCCCTTTCCTGAGAGTATACCTCAAGTCCCCAACAAAGGACAGCAGACCCCGAGAACACTAAGGACAGTGCCCCTAAAATGCAGGCTCGAGTACTCACACCCAAATATGTTCACGTATCTTCCCAAAGGGAATGCGACAGCCCATGGCACGCCCATGAGCCCCACCATGTAGCTCTTTGGTCAAGCACATCTCCTGGGAACAAAGGGCGTGGAACACACTCGGGACACCCTGACACACAGGCAGAGACCCTGAAGTGGGAGAGGACGGGGTGGGGCGGTAGGGAGGGGGAGAGCCGACAGGTATGAATCATGTGTCTTTTGCACTTCATGCCCTGCCAGTCCCTGTTGCTAAGAAAAATGCTCACAGAGTGCGGGGTTCAGCTAGCCACCCTGTGGCTGGATATACCCCATGCAAACTCAGAAAATCACTGGGCAGATCCAAACTGCAGATACCACAAGTGATCATTTCCAGCTTTGGAGGGTTCACCCTTCATCCCCTGAAAACCTGAAAGTGATAACCACAGACTTAACCTGACCTGCAGGTAGGACTGGTTGGCTGCACACCAGTGATACCTTTCTACGTAGCAATACTCACGTGGCCCCACCTCCCGCCTCATTTCCCAGCCAGATACACAAAGCACATAGCTCCCTGCTAGAGGCTCTAAGCTCCTCTCGCCTGAAGTGCCCTGGGACACTTCGGGTTTGTTGGGGTACATAGGGCTACCCTTGGGTGGTGTGGCCATCACTGCAAGGTCCCCAAGGCAAGAGCAAGGCCATGGTGTTGATGAGCCAGACTTCCTGTGACTGCCTGGGTGTCTGTGTGGCTGAGAATTCATGAGGTCTCACGGTGCCATATGAGGCCAGAAACTAAAGGTGAGAGCTTGTAAGTTCATAACTTCTGAAGAGTCCCTTCCTGCTTCCAGCCCATCCAAATACTTTGTCAATGGTGTGATTGCTAAGGACCCATTCGAAGCAGTGAACCTTTGGCTTGAAATTCTGAAAACTGTTCAAATGCACATATCCTGGAGAGGGAATGTCACCTGAGGTCCCACAGGTCATCCCACCCTTGGATGAACCTATGTCACAGGTAACTAAAAATCTGAATAACAAAAGATGTGATGTGGAAATTCCATGTAGCTGTGGATACGGTGAAGGAAGATGGAGATGGGAAGTCTTTAGAAAGAAAAGCACAGGGGAACATCCTATTCTGTCCAAGTCCCAGCCACTCTCCTTACAGCGTGTTTCTTTAACCTCTGGACTACTTCTCTCTATTTGCGAAACAGCCACTTACATCTCGGTGCTTTTGCTTCCTCCTGCCAGAGCCATTCTCTTCCTTACCAAGATCAAGCTGAAATGTCACCTCGACTGTGAACGTTTCTCCCTGTGCTCTTTGCACAGAGCAATTTTATCATTTTTCCTTGTATTTATCTCCCCCTAGAAACTAGCTCTCGGCAGCCGGAGAGGTGTTCTGTCCATCTCTCCACCGACTGTGCTGACACCACTCTCGTGCACAGTAGGCACCCACGCAGTGTCAGTGCAGGCCTGAATGCACATGAGGCCTCCCCAAGGGCCGCAGGTCACTCGCTGTAGCCACTGGCTCTTGTTCCCTCCACCTCTGGGAGTCGACTCAGAGACCTGCTCCTGACTCTCCCCCCAGCAGGACTTGAAACCCACTCGCAGTGTCCTGCCCCATCTGCAAAGGGAAGAACATTTCTAGAAACAATGCCCTGTGTCAAGCTATGGTACCTCACCAGCCAGACAGACACACGACTTGGACAGGGGACAAGGTACACCCCAAGTAGTCGGGACCCCCCAAAACAATGACCTTCATGACACAGGATAGGGCTTTGACTAGGGGTCTGCCCAGGAACTCAGAGACTCCATTACATCTGTGCCAGACCCCGACACATTTTGGAGAATAAGGCCTCTCTTTGAAGCCCCAGACTATTTGTGATTTGAGATCTTGAAGAAATAGAGCTAACACAGCCTGAGGCAGAGGAGCCTGAGTCGGGATCTCTGCTGTCTCATTCACCTCTGTAATCCACTGCCCTGTGTGAAGTGGGCACCCAGTAACTGATTTCAAATGAATTAATCAGTGGGTAAGTACGTAGCTAAGAAAACTAGAGCCAGCTGTACCCCTACCAAAAGGTACCAGACTCTTACCCTACACTGTACACCCATCTGAAATTTTTGTATTGTGTACAAAAAAGAAAAAGAGGAAACCAGCATGCATAGAAGATCCCTTTAAGATTAAAAAAAAAAAATTTAAGGAGTTAAGGAAAAAAAAAAATCTGTCTTGCTGGAAGGATAATGAGCTTTCTCAGGGTAAGGGGTTATTTTTGCTTTCCCCTTTACTGCTATATGTATTGTGTGAGTGTTACAATGAGCATGTGCTAATTTATAATTGTAAAATCAATTAAAGCTGTATTTATTCTGAAAAAGCAAACAAACCAACACAAAATCCCAACCCAACCTGAAGGTCATGGACACCAACAACAGATGTCTGAGAGGACCAGTGTGGGAGAACAAAGGGAAAGGACCAGATCAGGAGACGGCCATGAATGGGCCGTGAAGCCCACCAGGATGCCACCTCACTGCCTCTGTCTGTGCACCAGGGGCCTCATTTCACGAACTTCCCTGGCAGACTCCCCACACATCTCTCCACTCCTCTATCCCTCTGAGCCCGTTAATGAGGACCCGTATCGCTCCAACTCTCCTCTCCCGTCTAGCAGCTTCAAGACAATCATTAGGGAAATGATAAAAATAGGTTCACTTATTGATTTATCTCCTTTACCCAAAGTTCCTGCCTTCCAATGGTTGACTTGTTTCCTTAGCAACACAGCTAATTTGAGCAGCACTTTTGGCCTGCACACCTGCCATTTGTTCACTTCCTTGTTAAAGCACAGATCGCTGGGGAGAGGCAGAGGGTTACCCTCTGGGGTGCAGGAGGTGCTGGCTCTGGTTGTCAACAAAGCCCTGAAGGCCAGGTCTGGGAGCTGAACCCCAAGCCAAGCCCAGAGGGCCTCTCTATCTCCACCCGTCAGGGATTCATCTGAAAGGACAGGATTGGGAGGATACAGGCTGTGAGCAGCAAAACTGGGATGTCCCCAGGGACACATGCATCCCCCCACTACTGTCAAGTGCT